ATACAGAAGTAGTCTTAATAGGATTTAATCACTTTACTCAGGGTTTGTTCTCATTAAGATTTCTATTCTTCGGATTCCTTCAGAATCCATCATGCGAAATGTTCAGTTGATCAGTGTGACGAGCATGATGTTATTTTACAGCTGTCTGTAAAGTGATGATAAATGGCAGGTACTTTAGCACTTACCTGATGACATATTGAAGTGTGCATGTCAGGTTTACAGGACAAATTAACATTTAGATCAGACAGTGTAGTAGTCCCGAGTAAATTACAGAGTTCCTATTGTTTAATGGTCCTGGTACAGTGATTCTGTTGTCAATAATTCAGCTAACTTTGTGCAACATTGTATTCTGATTAAAATTTGGTACAGATGTATACCACAACATCATGTTTAATTGATCATGGCATCAATTTATTAGTTTTTTAGTGAAAGTATTGGGTGCTAATTGATAACAAAACAGATATGTTCTAGTCTAAGTCTGGAGTCTATGATCATCAATAGTTCATTAGTATACAAGGGAAAGTGTGGGCCATGAAAGATATGGAACTTGTAAACAAAGCTAGGTCATTACAATCATTGGGCATTTTTTTTTTTTTCAATCATCCAAAATTTAAATTGGAATTGGAATTTTGATATTGTAACTCAAGAGTAATTGGTTTTATGAGCACAAGGCTTTTGCTAAGTGCTAAACTTTAAAAATATTATTCTGAGGGATAAGTCCATATCACACAAAAATTATTGACTATTTTTTCTCACTCATTCAAATTGTAAAGATTTTTGTGAATAGTATCCTATTCATCTTCATTAACGACAAGTGAAATGTGCGTCCAAATTGGTGACATTATCCATGGTGTATACGGCATAAAGCACTTTTATGACATCACAAGTGAGTAGATATGTTTCTCCCTCGCAAACAAAGAATACACCTGAGACGTGATGAAACAAATCGTAATCGCAGCCCGATGTTATTATTGGTTGTTGTAACATGCAGTCTCACTGCATCACTGATCTCGTGATATTGTGGATCGTATGAAGTATGTTATAACAATATCATGATAAAATTCAAAACATTGGTCGTAAAACTTACAACAAGGGTATGTGTTATGAAGGGATGGCAAAGTCACAAGATAGTTCATGGTTCTGTGACCATTGTGCGATGAGATGTTTAAGTCTAGGGACAACTAAGTTGTGAGGCACATTGTTCAATAGGGAATGCTGTAATATAAAGATTTTATTATAATAACAATTAAACCTACTATTAGTTATAAAACTTCAGAAACAAATTCCTTTACTATGAGATATACACTTATATGTGGTTTTTATAAGATGCTTACACAAATTTTTCTTTCACATTAAATTTATTATGCAAATTCCTGAAAGAATTATTTAAACAAATTTTTAGCAAATTTTTGATATCCCAAAAGAATCTAAGAGCTTAATTTTAAGTTATTTCCTCATATAAATCCAAAAATATTTTTCTTCAAGTGGAAAAACAACACACAAACTAAACCCCAAACAGTATATTTCATTATTACAGATTATCTTTACACACTATTTACAGTTTCCCTTGTAACAACACACTGACAGAATATACAAGGGAAGATTTGTGATGAGTAAATTTACCTGTATTACCTTTCGTGGTATTCTCCTTCTCACCTAATCCCAGTGTACGTACAGCACTATAGCAGAAATGTTTTGTTTTTTTTATATCCTAGCTGTTTCCTTAGAGCACTAGAACATCACAATCATAATTTCTCACAGTAACAGCATCCAACATCTTTCTTTAAACAGGCAATGTCAACAATCAAGAACAGTTTAAGTTCTCTGGCTCCAGGTTGACACAAAACATGCTATACACATTTTACATGTTTTAACCTCCTGGGGGTGCATGGGGTCACAGTAAGTCTCTCCTGTGCCATGTAAAGGTATATATAGAGTCTTGTTTAAAATGCATATCCATAAAGGTTTATTATAATGTGACTTTTCCTAACACTGCGTCTTTGTGGATGAAAGAACAGGGTTATGAAACGTGAAATCACCACTATGAAATTGTCTTAATCTCCTGCAGGCTGGTAATATTTTTATGTTGGTGCTGTGTTTAGGTGGTGTGCAGAAAGACACTAAATCTTAATTCCACGTCATGGCCTCCTCGTATGATTGAATATTAGGTCATGCTCATCAGAAAGGGTCAATCATCACTTTGCCATGGCACGAAATAGGAAATTTAAACTCAGAATCTCAGCAGTTCATCTCAGTTAATGAGGAAAAGGTTTCTATAGCTTCGTTAGACATAAAACGGTAGAAATGCAGCATTGAAAATAGATAAAATTAAATTAAACTTAATAACTATATCAAAATATGAATATTTCCTTTTTAGATCCACTTGTTTAATCACATGACACATTATCCAGAAATCTGTAGGTCTATTTGTAATCGATTTGAAGCCTTTATATAACATAATGACTGATAAAAGATCCGAGTCAGAGGCACACTTATTAACCACCATCAGATATAAACAGTAGAGAGAAGCAGGTCATGTACCCTCCTTTTCAGCTACTTATTTCAGGTGTATGGGCTCTGTGTGGTGCTATGACATATCAATGTCTAACATCTTGGTCTGATGATTCCTGTCACTTCTGTAACTCTGTCAGGTAATTAATTCCAATCTACTAAGTCAATAATAAACAATCCTGATGCCTGCCTCACAAGTTAGAACTTAAATAACACTTCAATACAAATTTATTTATGTCTCTTCTGTAAAATTTTGAACTTGCAGTTGGTTTTTTTTAGATAGCAATATTTTCCATTACACAATATCAGCCATACTGAATACTGACAAGTGTTTCTATGGAGATGCAAGATCAATGGCCCATTAATGTAAGAATCTAGATATAAACTTTACGTATGAAAAATAAATCAGAAAAAAAAAAACTTGAAAATGTTTTGTGTTCTGAATCATCGAGAAAAGAAAATGTTATGTAAATTGAAGTGTTTGGCTTCATCAGCTATTTCCTGATTGGTCTTATGCACTTAGTGTACAATCCTGTGTGTGTTAATGTAGGTACATAGTAAGAATAACATATATTGACCATTCACCAATACTAAATGTGATATGTTTTCATATACAACATACCATACCATAATCCTGTGCTCAATGTATTATCAGCAGAATCACACTTCATAACAAGGTAACTGTTAATAAAATGTAGAAACACTTGCTCATTATACCTAGAAAACAAGCGAAGCTCAAATTTCAAATACCTTGGTTTATGCTTTGATAGCAGTTAACTATTAATGTTTAATTGTCTTCTACCTACACTCAACTTTCTTATCTTGAAGTCCACAAGAATATAGAACTTTAATTATAACTAAGATATAGAGACTGACTTTGACTCTAGCACAGAAACACTAGAGTTAATAGATCTTTAAGTTATCTGAGTTCTCTAGTGGATCTATAGATCTAGAAAGACGTCTGATCCTGATATATACTTGATTGACAGGTCAAAGGTCAATCCCTTGTCATAACAAAGGACACCTACCACAAGTAAACCAAATCAAACAAATTGTAGATAAACACAACTTTATTTGGAAATGGATTCAATATGTGGGAAAAGTTTGGATGTAAAGTTGAGTTGTCACTAAAATATCAATTAGAGAACCAGCAACCATATGTAAATTTTTGGCAAATGAATATTGGCAAAAAAGGATATGCCAGTCCAGGGTTAATGCTAAGTTTAGTATGCTTTGAGATAAGTTAAGGTTTATCATTTCCACAAGAGTTAGATCAACCTGAAAAGCTTTCTTTCCTGGCACAAAACCTGTCTTTTCTGACAATTTCTTTTAAAAGAAAACCAGTCTCCTGTCTGAAGTCTCTGTGACATGAAAACCTGTCTTCTCTGACAATCTCCATAACATGAAAATCAGTCATCTGTCTGATAATCTCTCTGTAACGTGAAAATCTGTTTTATCCGACAATCTCTGCAACATGAAAACCTGCCTTCTTTGACTATCTCTCAAACATGAAAACTTGTCTTTTTTGACAATTTCTTTAACATGAAAACCTGTCTTTTCTGACAATCTCTGTGACATGAAACCTGTCTTCTCTGACAATCTCTCTGACATGAAAACCTGTCTTTTCTGACAATCTCTGCGACATGAAACCTGTCTTTTCTGACTATGTCTCTAACATGAAAACCTGTCTTCTCTGACTATCTCTCTAACATGAAAACCTGTCTTTTCTGACCATCTCTCTAACATGAAAGCCTGTCTTCTTTGACTATGTCTCTAACATGAAAACTTGTCTTTTCTGACCATCTCTCTAACATGAAAACTTGTCTTTTCTGACCATCTCTCTAGCATGAAAACTTGTCTTCTCTGACAATCTCTCTGACATGAAACCTGTCTTTTCTGACCATCTCTCTAACATGAAAACCTGTCTTGTCTGGCAGTATCTCAATATTTTGTTTACTGGGTGTGTTCTGTTCTGACATTTGTTTTATAAGACCCCTCTAGATGAATTAGATCTGTACCTATAAAGAGAGCTGAAGTGTACACTGAGAACATATACACACCAGACTTTACCTGATCTATTGTAATGGTACATGTATTACTGGCTCTGAACATCCATAAAGTACATGCCAATAGGATAAAAGAGGCATTTATTCAAATGTGTTTCACTTTCCTGCCAACGCTAAACTAAATGATAATCTGTTCTCTATAAACAATTTGATTTCTGTTCCATTTATAGACTGCATCTGTTTTAGCTGAAATAGATCTGGTTATGTACGCTAATTAATAATGCTGTGGTTAACCTTAATTATGTGATCACCTCCTTAACCTTTGTTTTAGCTAAAGAAGGGGTGCCAATTTGGGCAATATCAAGGCCACTTAAAGATAAGCTTAATTTTTGAAGTGAAAAACCTTAAAGGTCAGCTGTATAAAGTACGCTATTTAAAACATTGCATCATCAGATGTTATGTGGGCTGTAGAAAATTTGAGGGTCAACGAGGAGAAGGAGGAGGAGGAGGAGGAAAGGGTGGAGTAGGAGGAGGAGACAAGGGTGGAGTAGTAGGAGGAAAAAAGGGTGGAGTAGGAGGAGGAGACAAGGGTGGAGTAGTAGGAGGAAAAAAGGGTGGAGTAGGAGGAGCAGCAGGAAAGGGTGGAGTAGGAGGAGGAAAAAAGGGTGGAGTAGGAGGAGGAAAAAAGGGTGGAGTAGGAGGAGGAGCAGGAAAGGGTGGAGTAGGAGGAGCAGAAGGAAAGGGTGGAGTAGGAGGAGGAGCAGGCAAGGTTGGAGTAGGAGGAGGAGACAAGGGTGGAGTAGGAGGAGCAGAAGGAAAGGGTGGAGTAGGAGGAGCAGAAGGAAAGGGTGGAGTAGGAGGAGGAGCAGAAGGAAAGGGTGGAGTAGGAGGAGGAGACAAGGGTGGAGTAGGAGGAGGAGCAGGCAAGGGTGGAGTAGTAGGAGGAGACAAGGGTGGAGTAGGAGGAGGAGACAAGGGTGGAGTAGGAGGAGCAGAAGGAAAGGGTGGAGTAGGAGGAGGAGACAAGGGTGGAGTAGGAGGAGGAGCAGGCAAGGGTGGAGTAGAAGGAGCAGAAGGAAAGGGTGGAGTAGGAGCAGGAAAGGGTGGAGTAGGAGGAGCAGAAGGAAAGGGTGGAGTAGAAGGAGGAGACAAGGGTGGAGTAGGAGGAGGAGCAGGCAAGGGTGGAGTAGGAGGAGCAGAAGGAAAGGGTGGAGTAGGAGGAGGAAAAAAGGGTGGAGTAGGAGGAGGAGCAGGCAAGGGTGGAGTAGGAGGAGGAGACAAGGGTGGAGTAGGAGGAGGAGGAAAGGGTGGAGCAGAAGAAGGAGACAAGGGTGGAGTAGTAGGAGGAGACAAGGGTGGAGTAGGAGGAGGAGGAAGAAAGAGAGGAGCAGGAGGAGGCAGAAAGTGTGGAGTAGGAGGAGGAGCAGGAGCAGGAAAGGATGAATAGGAGGAGAAAGAAAGGGTGGAGTAGGAGGAGGAAGAAAGGGTGGAGCAGGAGGAGGCAGAAAGGGTGGAGTAGGAGGAGGAGGAAGAAAGAGAGGACCAGGAGGAGGCAGAAAGGGTGGAGTAGGAGGAGGAGGAATAGGAGGAGGAAGAAAAGATGGAGTAGGAGGAGGCAGAAAGGGTGGAGTAGGAGGAGGAGGAAGAAAGGGTGGAGTAGGAGGAGTAGGAAGAGGAAGAAAGGGTGGAGTAGGTGGAGGAAGAAAGGGTGCAGCAGGAGGAGGAAGAAAGTGTGGAGTAGGAGGAGGAAGAAAGGGTGGAGTAGGAGGAGGAGGAGTAGGGGGAGGAGGAAAGGATGGAGTAGGAGGAGGCAGAAAGGGTGGAGTAGGAGGAGGAGGATCAGGAAGAGGCAGAAAGGGTGGAGTAGGAGGAGGAGGAAGAAAGGGTGGAGCAGGAGCTGAGGAAGAAAGAGTGGAGTTGGAGGAGGAGGAAGAAAGGGTGGAGTATAGGAGGGGAAGAAGAAAGGGTGGAGCAGGAGGAGGTATTTAAGTTTTTACAAACATAATATTCAAGCGAAAGTTGCATGTTGTATGTTTTCTGTCAATGAAGTATCAGTAAGAAAGACAAAAGCTGTGTGTATGTTTTTAAATTTAACCTTCATGCCAGACAGGAAGGTGTTTTTTCATTGGAGTGAGTTAAGTTTACTTACAGTAGAAAAGTATGTGTATTTGACAGTGCCGTCAGTTGTCTGAAAAACAAATTAACCACTGTGACATTACACAGACAAGTGACATTAGTCCTACTGTCAGCCTAATGCTGTTATAACAAACTTACATCTCTCTTCACTGCATATGCTGGGAAAGTCACAGCTCATAATGTAATCAAATTAATTACCTTTATAATGGTCACTGATTCACAGCACAACAGAACATGTGTCTATTACCACACCAACCATACACTAGTAACATCTGTTAGTATCAGATAAATGGATGAAACAAGATGGAAAATAAACACTAAACAAGGATAAACACTGGACAGACAACCAGGAAGGAAGGACAGACACCCAAGTGGACAGACAACCAGGAAGGAAGGACAGACACCCAAGCAGAGATATAGGTGAATAATGCACAATTCTAGACAATCCCAATCATCCAAGCTAAGATACAGATGAATGATGCACAATTCTAGACAATTTTAGGCAAACAAGCTGAGATATGGGTAAATGATACACAATTTTAGACAATTCTAGACAAAGATATATTTGCAAGTACTGCATGTACTTCAGTAAGAATATCATTCTTAATCTAAAAACAGATCAGAATCTATAAGACATATATATTCTAACATCATACATGAGAAGCCCCAGCTGTATCTGCAGTCCTAATGTCATAGATCCCCAGCTGTTCCCAATGTCAGACGTTACACCGTTCATAGCTAGTATACACCAGGCCAAAATATAAACCCAGCAGTACTGAAACAGACAGGATGAGCAGATATTTTTGGCTGATTGTACGGCCTGTTTATTTTCATAACTTCAGAGGAAAATAGAAATGCTAGGGTCCACAGCATGGTGCTGACATGGTGTCTCTGTAGGAATTATATAACACATCATCAAGTTCAGTCTCGCCCAACCCCCTCCAAACCACAACCTTGATTTAGAATCTCTATAACTTTTTCTGTAAAAACATAATTTCTGGAAAAATGATGTTTATATCTGATAAGGAACAATAAATAGCGGTGATCACAGTGAAAAAGACGTCAAACTAAATTAAGATTTCAAAGATTTTTCTTCAACACATGACAACATGTCCATCAGCTGATAAACACATTGCCAGAAAGTTATGTTTCTTTAAAATGGAAAAATCCACACAATTCTGTTGTAAGACTGTGCATTGGGTTTTAGTAGCACAGGTCCATAAATCTGCAAGCTGCTCTGATGGTAATCACCACCACCATGATACAATCTTCTCCTACTTTTCATGAGTTACTTCCCTTTATCTATGTTTTACAAGCTAATTTGTTGGGTAACCTATCACTAAAACATTTCATTGAATTTTTATTCCACTTAAAAAAAAAGCTATTAAGATATATTACTATGCCACTAAATGATAGTGGGCATTAAGCATTTGCCTCACTCCATACTTGGTATTTACGTCGAATCCATGAAGTTAATTTTTCTCTGGAGAAGTACTTCACTGCTGGTTTATTTGTCAGTCACTGTTTTAGACTTGATTCAGATGCCATGCTTAAGATATGACTTAGCATCTCAGATGTCATATTTAAGATATTTTGACAGTATTTCATACCATCACATACAGACATGAATGTTTCACAACTATTTTCTAGTTTCAAGTAAGGATTATTTGCAGAAAAAAAATCAAGGAAGTGAACAAACTACCTATTTTAAGAAAATAAAAAAAAAATCAGAAAGATTTTATTTTAATTGGTAAAATGTTTTCTTATCATACATAAATTTATTCTATTTTGGTCACTTGATTGAAACAAAAAAGATTTTTTTTTTCATTTTACAGTTGATATTGAAGAAACAGTTGTGAGATAACTTTAATATCTTCCAAAGAAATCATGAAAACCATTTTTTTCCAGACTGATTTAAAATCTCATTTGGGAATCTTACTCAATATCTCTTTCATTATCAGGTGGCGTGATAATACATGACTATAATGTAGTGACCACTTACATTTGACAATGAGACTGTAGACCTTAGTACATGTCTATGGAGTCTTTTCACATGGGTGGTAATAAAAGGATATGAAATTAATTTTATAGCACTAATGACAGTGTGAAGACGATAAAAAAAATCTTTTGTCATAAATCAGTCAACTTCAATAAACATAACATTATCTTACCTGATGTATCTTTCCAAACTAGCAGACTGATCTGTACCTAGAAGTCACACCCTGACTGTTCTGTACCTAGAAGTGACTGTTCTGTACCTAGAAGTCACACCCTCTATAAGACTGTTACCCACACTCTATACCCACACTATAAGACTGATCTGTACCTAGAAGTCCCCCCTCCCTCTATACCCACACTATAAGACTGATCTGTACCTAGAAGTCACACCCTCTATACCCACACTATAAGACTGTTCTGTACCTAGAAGTCACACCCTCTATACCCACACTATAAGACTGTTCTGTACCTAGAAGTCACACCCTCTATACCCACACTATAAGACTGTTCTGTACCTAGAAGTCACACCCTCTATACCCACACTATAAGACTGATCTGTACCTAGAAGTCACACCCTCTATACCCACACTATAAGACTAAGACTGATCTGTACCTAGAAGTCACACCCTCTATACCCACACTATAAGACTGATCTGTACCTAGAAGTCACACCCTCTATACCCACACTATAAGACTGATCTGTACCTAGAAGTCACACCCTCTATACCCACACTATAAGACTGATCTGTACCTAGAAGTCACACCCTCTATACCCACACTATAAGACACATACCCACACTATAAGACTGATCATACCCACACTATAAGACTGATCTGTACCTAGAAGTCACACCCTGACTGATCTGTACCTAGAAGTCACACCCTCTATACCCACACTATAAGACTGATCTGTACCTAGAAGTCACACCCTCTATACCCACACTATAAGACTGATCTGTACCTAGAAGTCACACCCTCTATACCCACACTATAAGACTGATCTGTACCTAGAAGTCACACCCTCTATACCCACACTATAAGACTGATCTGTACCTAGAAGTCGCCATCCTCTATAACAACACTATAAGAGTGATCTGTCACCCCACCCTCCCCCTTCCCCCCCACTCCCCTCTATACCCACACTAACAGAAATGTATTAAAAAGATGAACTGTGAGCAATATTTAATCAGTAGTAATCTGAAACAATATATAAGAATAATATTTAATCAGCAAAAATGTAACCTGTTTTCAGAAAATTTTAAATGAAAACAATGAAATGTATAATCTGATACCTATAATGTCTCATTTGGAATACTGTGATTTTTACCTGAGAAGTACTCTACAGTAAATATATCAAGCTTAGATTTGGTTTAATCTTCCCACACACAACCGTTCATGTCAATGACCTACAGATCCAGGCTGGTAAAATACCATAGCCAAAGTGACAAACCTCAACCAGTTGTGCAAATTCTGGAGCATGCTCTCATTAATCTCTTTATATATCACCATTGTAAATACATGTAAATGATAAAACAGTACAATTTGTTCGTCAAGGTCAAGGTCATACCAGGAGGCCAATGGTGGTACAATAAATGTGATTACTGATGAGTAAAATTAACCCAGAATTCATCTATAAGTGTCCCATCCCTTCAGCTGGAGGGTTACACTTCACTGGGTACTTTCATAAGGTATGATCACATTTTCCTTGTGATATTACAAACCAAATACTGTTAAAATCTGCTCAGCAATTCAGATGAGGAAGATTTGAAAATGCCATCAATATCAATACTAGCTACAAACCATTGATCCAAGGCAACCATAGCACTGAGGTATACTGGAGTATACCAAACCTACATGAAGTGGGAATATGTGTAATGGGAGGGAGGAGGACTAGATGGCTGGAGGGAGGGAGGAGGACTAGATGGCTGGAGGGAGGAGGACTAGATGGCTGGAGGGAGGAGGACTAGATGGCTGGAGGGAGGAGGACTAGATGGCTGGAGGGAGGGAGGAGGACTAGATGGCTGGAGGGAGGAGGACTAGATGGCTGGAGGGAGGAGGACTAGATGGCTGGAGGGAGGGAGGAGGACTAGATGGCTGGAGGGAGGAGGACTAGATGGCTGGATGGAGGAGGAGAAGGTGACTTGATCAGAATCCGAAAGCAAACATTTTCAAAACTCAAGATGTATTGTAAATGTGCATGAATGAGCCTCATTCAGTAAATAAAGGTG